CCCTCAACTCATCAGAGCCCTTCAACCTGACACAACCCCTAGAGCTAAACCCTAAACATTTTCACCCTAAACCCACGGCCTTCTCCGCCGTGGTCACCTTGCACTCCACCAGCTCTTTGCGGTAGACGGTGGTGACTCCCTCATCGGGCAGAGCTTGGGACTTACCTTTTTGGGATTTCTTTAGGGCTCCTTCGTGCATGCATGAGTTGGTTAATGGTCGCTAGCCGCTAGACAATGACGAACCAAGTCAACTCTTAGGAGTAGTTAGCGTAGTAACTTGTAGCCATCCGTGATGGTGATGAGCTCTTTCCGCTCACGCGTCTTCAGGCCACAGAATCTCTGCGCCCTTGGTGGGGTTCTTGCGACGATGGTGTGGGAGGTCGGAGAATGCGGCATGCTCATCCAAACGCTACGAATTGCAATGAGAACAATGCCTCCCCGCGTTAAATGACTTTAAACCGTCAAGCCTCTAGGCTCTAGCGACTCGAAGAAAAGCCAAACACCAACGCACACCCTTTTAGGCACAATCCCAAAAACCACTGAAACCCAAAAAATGCTAATTCGCCTCTCAGATATACAGCAGCTGATTGTACGAAACCTCTGAATGCTCCAAGGGCGACACCGGGAAGGAGGGCGAGTCTGTTTCCTCCTCTTGCCGCTCCACAGTGGAGAAATCGAATGACACCTGCGAGAAGGGCATTCTAGGCATATTAGTCATATTGGGGATTTAACTTTTAGTGTGTCGAGCTTTGGGACTTTATGTTTTGCAAGGTTCGGCTACTATGGTGGCTACTGGGTTTTCGGGCGTAGGCTTTTGCAGGGTTGGGTCTGGGCGCCGACTCGATTTAGGCAGGGTGCAAAGAAGCTGAAACACATTGCACACAACAGCGTGAGCCAAGGTGTTCTGACGCTGCACAGGGGACTGCAAACTTGAGTCACCCTCGGTGACGATATCTTTTCAGCGACGGGTGGAAACAGCCCCATATGGGACCTTGCGAGTGCGAGTGGCTGTGCTGGACAACTCGTTCAGTCATCCGAGGGCCGAGTGTACGTACAATCACCTTCGTCCCAACCGAAACCCAAACAAGGCGCTTGGAAGCTTGCGAATGAATGCCGTTTACGGGACGTCAAAAAGCGCTCGTAAACCCCACCACATAGCCTGGGGTACATCTACCCATGCACAATCAATGTCGGTTTGGAGGAACAGGAACATGTGCTGTGGTAGGCAACGCTGCACTGTTGCAATGATTCTGGTCGGCATTGCTTTCAGGGGTTGGTGATTGCTGACCGTGTGGAGCAGGTGCAGTGGTGGCACTGCGACGGGGCTGGGTTCGGCCCTGGATGAAACCACTGGCCGGATGCATAGCCGGCACCAGCAGAAAAAGAAATTAGAAGGGGATTTGCACCCCTGTGAATCGAAGGGTTGGGGCGATGCTCGGGCGCAGGCTGAGAGTGCTGAGACACGAGCCAACAGCTGCATATCGAAAGCTGCATATCAGTGCTGCAATGAAACGGCTTCAGCAGCTTGAAAGGTCGCTGTCATTGTCATGCCCCGAGGGCCGATCCCCTCGGCCCCCCTTTACCCGGTGAGGGCGCACCATGCTAGCATCGATGGTCATCATCTCCTTCAGAATGCGCTCAGCCGTCTGCCTGGCACACGGATATAACCCGAGGCACTTTCAGGTTTGGGGCTGTTAACTGCCACCATGCAATAGAAGTAGTAAGAGTACTGGCTACTAGCAATAGGTCACCAGTAGGAGCAAAATTAAGTCTTAACAATTCGGCTGCTCACACCTACGGTGCGTGGAATGGCGCACTTCCAAACTTCAAGCAATGGGGGCTGCGGACAAGTTCGAGAAGCCGACACCAGTGCGCCCACCTTGCATTCTCGTGCGGCTCCTGCGTCGGGTGTGGATGATCTTTTCGCAAGGCTATGCAAGGCTTTAGGGTGCGAGGTCTCTGTGCCCCTGCAAACTAAGCGGTCTCTCCATTCTGACGGCTTTACGCACGAAGCTCTAGAACTCGCGAGAACAGGTGGTTGACGACTTCACGGATGCTGTCAGCGACACAAGCGCGGGGTCATCACAGAGTAGCCGCTCAGCCTGACAGTAAGCAGGAAACACACAGAAACACCCCACCTTAAACCCTAAACCCCTACCCTAAACACCCCATGCAGAAATTCCCTAAAGTGTCCTTCTTCGTACCCGGCAGGCGCAGCGTCTCGCGCTCGCGGCCATCGGGGAACTGCTCCTTTTGGGGAGACGAGCTCGGAGGTGGGAACGTGCCGGAAAGGGCTTGAAGGGCTTAGGGTTTTTCTTGTTGACACCTCTTTTCCTTCGCCTGATTGGGTCCAGAATGCCAGTTTTAGGGGTTTGTCCCAAAACAATCAGGGCCCCCTACCCCCGCCTCCCCGAAGTTTGAAGACCCGAAACCGGACGATGGCTCCGACAGCCTGAAATAGAAGCTCCAAAGCCAATGAGGCGCCGCAGCCCGAGAGAAATCAAGAATCCACAAGCGGCGGAGGCTCCAAAGCCCGAAACCTGTGCTCTCCTTGAACTCCACGAGCAGGCGCGAGCCGTCCGCAGGGCGAAGCTTCCTCAGCCGACCAGAGGGTTTTGAGATGTTTTGGAGGGCCTCTTCCTTTGCCGCTGCAGAGAGCCTCATTGAGGCAGGCTTAGGCGAAGCATCTTAGCGGCCGCAGTTTTGGGGTTTGGGGGGCTTACACAGAGTCCAGGGCTCAGGGTTTCGATAGTTTTGGGTTTGGGCTTTTGGGCTTCTTTGGGTTCTCGGTGCTTATAACTCTGCAGAGTGGGTAAGACACAGCGAGACAGGGAAGGATGTAGAACGGGCTATGCACACATGGACATGCAAGTCGAGGAAGGAGATCTGCAAATTCGACTGTAGAGGCACGAAACTCAAAGAGAGACAAACTTGAGAGGGAGGAGATACAGGGAGAGAGAGAGAGAGAGGGAGAGAGAGAGAGAGAGTCTGAAAGAAGCAAAGAGACACGGACTCCACACATTGCTCAAGAGGCTTTCACGAATCTCAAAGCCCTTGATCATGAACGCGCCCTCGGCTCGAACCCAACTCGCAGAGCCCGAAACGTTGCCTGAAGCTGGGATAAAGCAAGTCATCATGCAATGAATGCCATCACCGCGCACGAGACGATGATGACGATGACGACCAAGACAACTACCTAACTACCATCAACCAGGAGGAGGAGCAGGGGGAGGATGAAATGAATGAGGAGATAGACATGCTGAGCGCGAGGGTGAGGCCCAGCCTGAGAACGAAAATGCTGATGACAAGGTTATGATGATAATTATGGTGACGATAGTGACGATGGTTATGATGATGATGATGATGATGATGGTGATGGTGATGTCGATGGCGATGGCATTGATGATAGTGATGATGATGATGATCATCATCATCATCATCATGGTGATTATTTTGGTGATGATGGTGGTGGTGATGATGATGAATGGTGAATGATGAACCATGAACCATGTATTATGATGATGGCGATTATCATGACGATGGCGATGATCATGATGATGATGATCATGACGGTAATGAAAATTATGATGAGTTTGGTAGATTTGCGGTTGACCTCTTTTTCACCGTCGCTGGCCGAATGCCAAGCCTGAGCTCAATACAGGACGACGATGTCCACGACGCGCACCTTGGGCCAGGTCAGCAGGAGACGCAAGGTGTCAGGACTCCATGGACGATGGCTTCGGTGTCTAGGAGAAACGTTGTCACATCCAGGGCTGTGGGGCATCTGCCTCTGAGATCTTCTGAGCTTTCCAGTATCCTGAAAACCTTGAAAGGTCTCAGGCAGCTCCTTGAAGTCCTCCTACTTCTTCTTGCAAACAAGGCTCTAAAGAGTCACTCCATACGATACTATACGATACTATACGATACTGTACTATATTACACTATATTGTACTATATTATACTATTTTATGTTATATTAGACTGTATTATACTATATTATACTATACTATACTCTATTATACTATATTATACTACATAACATAAAGCTATATTACACTATAACATACTTTCTAATACTAGATTATACTATACTGTACAATATTGTACAAGTTCTCTAAGATATGGTATGATCTGGTGAAACTAGTCTGACATCAGAGCTGCCAGCTTCAACCTCGCGCTGAGAACTTCTGGCTGGAACTTCTAGATAGCACAGTATATAGAATAGTCTAGTATAGTATAGTATGGTATAGTATAGTATGGCATGGTAGAAGCAGAAGGACAATACTCCTGCCGCGACGAAGGAATCCGAATCCCACTCTTCGAACTCCTCCGGTCATTTCTTTTGGCCCCGAAGCCCAATCCACGTAAGGATCCCGAGAGTTTCTGAGGCATGCGCGAGCTTCTTGTGCTGCTGCGCATCCAACATCAGCCTGTTCTGAAAGAGCGACCACGTCATGAATAGACATGAATACACATCCGGGTGTACAGCTTGCCCACGAACTTCTCTCTATGCATACGCACGCGCGTACGTACATACTGACAGCACAGGCTATGCACATGTACATACGTTCGTCAGGACACTTGCATCTTGCATGCAAACCCGAACGATGAGCTGCAAAGGCCTGGAAGCTCCAGTTTCGACTTCCCGGGCCAGCTGGTCGATTCCCTTTGCCTGGAGGCAGCTGCGGTGTGCTACGTTAGCTTTGCCAACCTCCCGCGGCCAGGTCGTGCTGTTTACATGATTACATGATCCGGAAATCTTCAAGAAGCTTCGCATGACACAGACACACGGAGCCCACGGCACAAACAGACTTGACCTTCAAGCCCGGAATCTGCAGAGTCGCTTCCAATGCTACAGAGCTCAGGAAGCCCCGATTCTCAACACGCCAAGCCTGAACAACCCGAATCCTCCAAGCAGGCAAGACAATGCGGCAAGCCCCGCTCAGCATTGCTCCCAGGCACTTCAGCCCAGCGCAGACACGTAAACAGTCCAACATGGCCTTGCCGACGCCGAACTGGCTGACGTCGATGTTGTGCCTGGGCGACCAATCATGCGCTTTGGATAGAATCAGAACATGAGCTTCACATGAGGACGGATGGGTTTACAGCACCCCGGCTTGAGAGAAAAACGAATCTTGGCTACTGACTCCACCAAGGTCTTTCGGAACATCGCCAGGTCCATCGGATCGTCCTCCAAAAGCCGCAGAAGACCGGAAGGGCTCAAAGCTTCAAAGAGGGCTCAGGGCTTTCCTTCAGCACATCCCCCCCCCCCGAACATCCCAATCTCTTTCGGAGTTGGATGTCTTTCCAGATGTTCTTCGAGCTTTTGCGGATGTTCTTCGAGACCCCGCAGTCAACTGTTCATCTCAGGCGCCTGACACTGCCTCGAGAAGGATCATCCGCGGAAACCCTAACAACATCTAAAGAAATTGGATGACCAACATCCATAATTCTCCACAATCATGACTTGGTCGGCTCGTAATCATTATCCGAAGAATACCCACCCTTTCCAGTAATATTAGTATTACCTTGCTATGAAATTACCACAATAGTACTACAATATTACTTTCTTAGTACCAAAAATTTTACTTAGTAGCATAATATTACTAGAATACTGCTTTATATTACTCTAACATTACTCTCCTAGTACCATAAGGTTGCTAAAAACCAAACCGTGGGGGTTCAGGGCCCGGCCCAGGCGCCTTTGGTGCTGGCTGAAGGTTCTCGAAGTCCAAGAGCTTCTCCTTCTTAACCTGCGGGGGTTTTCTGTAGCAGATTCTATGCTGATATAAACATAAAATCTAGCGTATACTGTGGTAACAGCAGTAATAGTATAGTATATACTGTAGTGAAATGAAAGTATGTACTGTGGTGACATTCGAGTATATACTGCAGTAATATTATAGTGCGTACTGTAGTCAGTGTAGTAAGGAGGTTCTGTAGGTTCCGGCTTTAGGGCTTCCCGCATATGGGTCAGCAGGTTGCAAGAAACATCGCAGTGAGGGTTCGTGCAGAAGAAGAGCCAAAAGCTGTCAGTGGATAACTGCCAGAGGCTGACGGCGGGGGAAAGAAGATCACATCAAGGACAGTAGCAGCTCTCTCACGCGAAGCTCCTCGCAAGACCCTCAAGACCCTAACAGCGACATGGGGACACCTCAAGCCCCAAATTTGCAAACCGCCTTGAAACCTAGAGATCCTACCTGCTTTCTCACCACCCCCAAACACTGGTTCGAGAGCACCTGATCCTCGCTCGTCCACTCGTAAGACGCTTTTCCGCCCTGTACCTGTGAGGGCTAGCGATCGAACAATTGCTACAGTAGTTGTTGCAAATGCTTACTCTTGTCGATCCGTCACGGCCTTTGATTTGATGGCACAACACACACCAAGCAATTCAGTCATGTATTACCCTTGCATAAGCACACATTGCATGCAGAAGGAACTTCAGGTCACGAGACATGTGCTCCGCAGAAATCTCAAGGACAGTGGACTACCAAATCGATAGCCCTCAATTGTAAGCCCATGAACCCTAAACCGCTGGGGTTGCTTGTTGCAAAAAGATCCGGGTTGAGGGCTCTCCGTCCGTCGTCACAAAAGGCCGAGGCTCGATGTTTGCATCCCAAAGATCCCAAGTCTAAGTCTGCTAGCCAGGCTTCCCCAACCACCCAGCTCTACTCGCTCCAGGGCACGATCTTGTCTGCAACCACAAACTTCTTGTGCTTGTGGTTTTGGAGCTGCTTCCTCGGACTACAAAGGCGGAGGGTCACATGCGCATTAGCAGCAACGTTCAAAAGAGCACAAACCCCAGGAACGATGAGGTTTTGGGCTTGAGTTCAGCTTGATGTAAACACCGCTTCTCGAATGCATGAAGTCTGCAACCTCAGCTACCCAAAGCTTCATCGATGTGAAGCTAGAACAAGTGCCATACCTTTGTTCATCAGTCCAGCTGTAGAAACATCTTCTGCCATCCACCCCTGAGAGGCCCCGCTTCGTTGCGATGCCCTTGCGGCTGTCGGCTTCCCGGTTCATTCGCAGGATCAGCTCCTGCACGGTAATCCGAACTGATTCGAACTGCCAGGCTGTAGAAGTAAGCCGTTCATGCTAAAATATGCTAACAAAAAGGCCCTCCAGCAACGAAAATTATCCTCCCAGTGGCGCCTGACGACGTTCCTTGATGCCGTCGTTCACGCCGGCCTGCCCATGCCCGATGGTCAAGGTCACAACCAGGAGTGCTACAAACTTCCAGCCTGACAAGAAGTATCATGCTGATAAAGACTGCCTTGGCGTGCTAGTAACGATGATGACGATCCTGGAGACGATGGTGATGATTATGATAGTCATGATGATGGTGGTGGTGATGGTGATGGTGATGGCGATGGCGATGCCGATGGCGATTGCGATGGCGATGATGATGATGATGATGGTGATGATGATGATGATGGTGATGATCATGATGATGATGATGATGACGAGACACAGACTTGGACGAGCACGAGGATGACGCTGAAGATGATGGTGATGATGATGGTGATGATGATGATGATGATGGCGATGGCGGTGATGATGATGATGATGATGACGAAGAAGAAGAAGACGAAGAAGCAGGTGATGATGATGAGGAGGACGACGAGGAGGAGGATGGGGGTGAGGATGAGCATGAGGGTGAGGGTGAGGGTGAGGGTGAGGATAAGGATAAGGATGAGCATGAAGATGGAAGATGCAATACGCCTGAATGTTCCCAGAAAAACTGAAAAGATATGCAAAGCAAGAGAAACCGGAGAGGAAGCCGGCACCTCTGCCATGCCATCTGCCTCCTTGTCGCCCTCCCTGGGTATCCGGTTTCGGTTTTCGGGAGTTTACGGTGCAGTCGCCTTCATGGTTAGACGGTTAGCCACTTAGCCCTGCTTGGTGAGGGGGAGAACTGAGGCATATGGTTCAGCTTGATCTTAGGAGTGTTTGGGCCTCTTGCTCCACGGAGTTGGCTTTCCGAGAGACCTCTTCACCCAAGGACCTATGCCCTCAAGAGGGCCGAAGCTCTGAGCCAACTTGAGCTGAAGCCCTCCTACAGAACGTCGCCCAGGGCCCAAGCTCTTCTGCCAGCTTGTCACCACCGTCGGGTGACCTTAGCAGATGCTTTTGGATACTAAGGTGCTGCTCCGAGGATCTAGAGGTACTCCAGCCCGCGCCTGTTTTGGTCGACGAGTCTACTGTGTCGGGAATCCCTTGCAACAGAGCGGTCCTCTCTCCAATTGTGCACACCGGGGTCCTGCAATTATTGGGGCTGCGCATCTTGCCAGACATGTTTCGGCCCACCTGCGAATACAAAGGGTGCCATACAGCTTGCTATAAAGGCTACTACAAAAGGTGCTAAACAAAGTCAGGTCCAAGAAATGTCCCTGACTCGGGCCGAGCTGCACAAACCCTGCAAACCCCTTCAAAAAGCTCCCGTCTCTCAAACCCCCCCCAGCATTTTGCCCTACCCCCTAAACCCTAAACATCC